GCCCCACATTAGAGATGGAGAGTGAGAGTCAGGAACCTGCAGGAGGTAGCAGAGCTCCTATGGATTCTTCCAAATCACATCAAAAAGGCGGGCGCCAGGTAGAAAATGTCGCTTTGGGGGAAAAACAATAAGAGGGCATTCTGCCAGCAAATAAAGCTGCTAAGAACTTTGAGTCTCGGTTCTATGTAAGTAGTGATTAAAAAACCCTATATTTACAAAGCCTGAAGCAAACCCACTTGTTATTTGCTACGTCTGCTGTAACAATTAGCACAAACTTAGTGGTTTAAAATGACGCAAATTTATTATCTTACTGTTGTGGAGGTCAGAAGCCGGGGTGGGTCTCGCTGAGCTAAAACCAAGGTGTTGGCGGGGCTGAGTTCCTTCTGGGGGCTCCAGGGGGGAAGCGATTTTCTTGTCTGTTAGCTTCTGGACGCACCACATTCCTTGTCTCATGGCGGCCTGTCTGCGATTGCCAATGCTCCAGCCTCTGCTTCCTTCCTCGCATCTCCTCCTCTGACTCTTTTAAGGACCATCGTGATTGCATTGGGGCCACCCAGCTAATCCAGGGTGAACACCCCATCTCAAGGTCTTTAACTGAGTCACTTCTGCAAAGTCCCGGTGCCGTGGAAGGTAACAGGGCCACAAGTTCCAGGGAGTAGGACATGGACATCATTGAGGCACCACTGTTCTGCCTTCCACACCCTACAACCTCAGAAACACCATCTCTAACACATCCAGCAACACTTAAAGTGTTCCCTCAATTCCACTCTTGATAATGATGGGACACAATCTTCGTCTGCCTGAAGGTATGAGTTCCCCTCTTAGACTTCAGCAAAATGCCTCATTCTTTTTCTTCCCAAGCCCGAGTCCTAGAAACTCACTCTTTACACCCATCATGGGGCTGAAGGAGTACTCAATGTCTATGTAACGAACCATTAAAGTTAGGGTTTCCATCCCTGAATGATTCAAAACATGGAATGTGCTTTGTTAGATAGTAGGAAGTATTCACCTACTTCTTGATGGAGAGATTTCATTAAGTCATGGGAAGTAATAGACTGTCTTTCTTGTTTTTTCCTGCTGTTCCCCCACTTATAATGTCCATTTATTTTATTAGATTCTTTAGCCAAAAGAAAGACGAAAGCACTGCTGGGCCTAGAATAGCAATAAGAACTGGCTCTGGTTGAGTGATTGCTCTGTACCCTGTACTGGCTAAGCAAGCTCCATGGCCAGTCTGATTCTAAACTGTTTTACTCAGATCAGCAATCAAATCCAAGTGACCCATGAATGATGCTGGGAATGTCAGACCACTCCATATGCTGACCAGATTTACTATCGTGATGCAAAGGACAGACAAATTGTACCCAAATAAACACTTGTGACAGTTGAAATTTGAGTTCAGACTTAAGACAACCTAAGCACGACTTCTGCTTTCTAAGATAGCAATCCTGTTGACACAGGTGTGTTAAGATAAGAAATGCTGACAGCAATATCACATCCAGTAAATAGCTCTGAATTCTGCAGAGGAAGAGTTTAGCAACCTCTGCCCCTCAGTGCACACCTTTGGAATGCACACCTGCCAGAAAATGAAAGGCCTCCTGAGTGATGACTGGGTGCTCAGGTGTTCTCTTGAGTGACTTTAGAAATTTCATCTTCCCAAAAAAAAAAAAAAAAAAAAATTCATCTTCCATAATGTAGTTCTGGCTGTGATGGTTGTAATAAGACCTAATTCTCTGATCCTTTTGGTCTCTTTTCTGTAACTCTATTTATGTTGGAAGTAAACAAAACCTTTGCCATTACTTTTTAGCAAATAATCAGTGTTAAATAACATTTAGCAAAAAATTACAGGTGCTACCCTGGCCTGGCAAACTCTTTCCCTGAAAACCACAATTCTGAGAAATACACAAAAGGAATGATTGCAAAGGAGCTCAGGGCTCTCTCTGCTGAGTCTGGGTGTTCGTACCTCCCTCCTGCTTTTCTAGAGAAGATCTGAGCCCTTGCATGGGCGTCACTCCCTGCTGCATCTGGTCTTTGGGAGACAGTGGTAAGACCACATTTTATGACGTTTAAGTAGTCAGAGCAGCATAAGTAGGCGGAACATCATAAGGCCCTGCCCTGTCCTCGGGAAGACCGAGCACCATTGCAAGGAAACTGGGCTTTGAATACCACCAACTGGCTTTACAAAGCATGTATCCNACAAGGAAACTGGGCTTTGAATACCACCAATGGGCTTACAAAGCATGTATCCTTTTTATTTTTCTGGAGAGTGGTGCTGTCCCCAGGCTAGTGATAAAACCTGACTTGTGGGTTGTGTCAGTCATGGTCTCATCAGGAAACAAATGACATACCCAAAATAGGAGTGCTTATTCAAAAACACTAGTTAGGAAAGACCGATTATGGGAACCATAAATGATAGTGCAGGAACACAGAGTCACAGCCTCACTGCTGCCACTCGTGGAAAATGGTACAAAACAGTGACCAAGCCCTGGAAGGAGAGAGTCCCGTGGAAAGAGCCTACTTCAGAGGAACCATGTCTGACACCTGAGGACACAGCAGTCTGAGGAGACCTTTTGGGAAGGAGCCAGGGAAAGGATTACCCAACCTCTGATCTTCTGCCGGGGCTCCCCATTGGCCAAACCATATGGGGAATTGGGGAGACATGGGGAACTGATGAGATCCATGCAGGTCAGCCTCATGGGCAGGAGGTGGCTAGCGGGCCAGGAGGGGCAAATGGAACTAGCAAGTGGCAGAGCCAGGATCTGAACATGGTGCTTGATGACTGATACCACTGGTTCTTTGGAATACATGTTCATTCAACAAACATTTAATTTCCGCTCCGTGAAAAGCAGCACGTGAGGTGCTGAGGATTCGAGGTAGTGGCATCTCCCACTGAATGATGCATCAGGCCCTGGGCTGGGGCTTTTCACATGGAGCCCTTACAGTGGTCCTGGAAGGTGGGCAGCATTATCTCCATTCAATAGGCAAGCTGTCCGAAGGAAAGATGGGCTTGCCCAATGTCACGATGGGCTTGCCCAATGTCACAGCTGGAAAGTGGGAGGACTGAGATTCAATTGCATGTCTGACCCCGTGCCTGCATTTTTCGTATCAGGCCCCTCAAAGCAGCCCATCCCCACAAGGAAGTCTAACTGGGAAGAAAACCAGTCTTTTAGTGTTGATGGATCTCCTTCCAGAACTTCTGTCGGCAAGAAGAGTTCAGAATCCAAGCCCTGTGAGACCAGGACAGTCTATTTCCCTCCTTAGAACAGGGACTAAAATAGCATCACTGTTCTTAAGTGGGCAAAAGTGAGACCATCTGGTGTGAGGCAGTGGGGCTGTGCTGAGCTGGAGAAGTGCAAATACCCACAGCACAGCATGACCAGAATCGGGAAGTAAGGCCCCAGCAGATGAGCAAGTGGAGGCCTGGAAGACCATGTGGGTCTGGGCCAAGAACAGAGTTCCTCAGGCAGAGTTTGCAGTTTTGTTTCTTGTGGGATGGGGCCCTGCACATAATGAAAATACAAGGTGGCGGACCCAAGAGGAAGGGCCTCAAATGGAGAACCATGTGAGAGGTTGAGGTAGGGAGCCTTGATGGAGACTTCAGCATGCTGGCCAGCTTCTATATTCAGTTTCTGCTCTGAACTGGCACAGAAGTGTCTCTCTGGGTCTCAGGGAAGTGACAAAACCAACTTAGGTAGATCAGTCAGGCAACTCAACATCACAGCCTGCCCGTGGTTCTCAAAGTGTGGTCCCTGGACCAGAGTATCAATATCACCTTAGAACTTGTTAGAAATGCAAACTCAAGGGGCCACCCCAGGCCTACAGAGACAGCAACTCTGGGCGTGGGGTCCAACCACCAGTTCTCATAAGTCCTCGGGGTGATGCTGAGGCACATTGCAGTTTGAGAACCACTGCTGTGGGATCACTGATTCCGAATGGAAGCAGGAGGACTTGGGGGACCCTAATAACAAAGAACTCTAAGATGTGGTCACTGGGGGCTGAGAGGGGGAGGGAGATGATTCCCTATGGGAAGGGGCCTAGCATGTAAAAGACACTGATAATTACTGGGCAGTGTGTTGGCTTTGGAAGCAGTATAAGGAAATGTTAAGACTTGAGACAAGACTATGGGTCAACTCTTGTCAAAATTTAGGGGAGACAGAGAGTAGGAACTGGGCAGCGGGGAGGAAGAGCACTAAGTTTAGAAGATAGTGAGTGGCACTTGGTTTGTACCAACTCATTTGGATTCTTACCCCTTGTCTTTTTGCTCTTCTAACAATAGGCTCTGCCCTGGTAGGTATTGGAAAAGAAGTGGAAATGGACAGTACATGATTCTTCCACTAAAGTGGAGGCAGAAATATAAACTGTTATTGCACTGTGGTAGGATAGGAGGTCAGAGAAGCTTCATGAAGGGAAGGAGGGCATGAAAGGAGCTTTCCTGGCAAAGGATCTGCTGTCTTGTGCATTAAGGACTAGGGGTGGGTGCACAGCATGTTCTGTGAACAAATGGTTGGGTATTGTGGGCCCCCTCTATGCATGGGGAAGGGGCTGGAAGGAGGGTGGGCCCAGGTAACGGGAATGGTGGTTGAACCTTCACTGTGTTTTAGGTACCCCTTAAGTAGTTATATTTCCATTACTTAATCTTCACCAAATCTGTTGACCTCTTGAGATAGCAAAGAACATGCTAAAGGTTTGGATTTTATCCTGTGGGCAGTGGGCAGCCTTTGAAGTGTTTCAAGGAGGAAATGGTTTAGCATCATTCTCTATGCCTCTGGTTCTCTATTCTGACCCACACAAGAATTGGCCAGAGCTAATCAGAAGCAAATGTAGCTGCCAGGCCCCACTCTGGATGAGAGGCTTGGCCTGGGGCTGGGATCCTGGACAGGACTGGACCTGTCTGAACAACACATCTGATTGCCAGGAAAAGTCAGAGAGTCTGAGTTTAGACTCAGCAGAAATTGCTTTAATTATTTGACTTTAATAGTGACATTTTTTTGTTTTTCTTTCAGGGACGTCCAAATCATATGTAAGTATTCTCTTTTTCTTTTCCATGTAGCTTCATCTTATAAACGCTAGTCTGCTTTGCTTCACATTTGTGCTTCATTCACGTAACAAATGTGTATAATGCAGCTAACGTGAATGAGGGGACAATCCTGAGTTTCTGTGTGACATTCCTTCTCTTTAGGAAATACTTCGTGTAGCCCTTCTCAGACTAACAGCAAAACTAGATGCTCCTTTTCTTTGTCTCTGTGTGGAATGTAAGGGAATAAAGTTTCTTAAATTCTAAGATTCTATCCCCGGATAGCCACTGATAAGTTACTAAATAGGCACAGGCTACGTTTCATGCCAACAGCACTCGTTTGTGAATATGGGCCAGCGAGGAGCATATGTTAATGCTACACTGTTTGTTTTGTCAGAATTGCTGTGGTTATCCCATGAGCATCTTCTTCATCGTGATCAATGAGTTCTGCGAAAGATTTTCCTACTATGGCATGAGAGGTAACTGTTTTTGCCACCCCACCCCTTGCATGCAGAGCGTCGGTCGCCGCAGCTGCTCCTAACTGTGTTTTCCCTCCCCCTGGCCCTGCCTGCCGCGGAAAGCGCTCCTGATTCTGTACTTCACGCAGTTCTTTGGATGGGACGACAATCTGTCCACCGCCATCTACCACACGTTTGTGGCCCTCTGCTACCTGACTCCAATTCTCGGTGCTCTCATTGCTGACTCCTGGCTGGGAAAATTCTCGTGAGTAGAGTTGCAACTCCCTTGTTGCCAGGCAAGCCAAAAAGTAATTATTAGCTTTGCGGTTTGAGATTATGGACTTTAGGAGCAAAGAGTCAGAAACATAAAACTCTTAGGAGAGCGTGCTAGACCCTGCTTCTGCTTATCTCCTTACCCCGCAGAGCTTGGCACAGCGGCTGGCACTTAGCAGTGACTGCAAGCAGCATCCATAGGTTGCTTTTTTCCCCCCTCCAAGTAGTAATAACATCTTTGTCTCATCCTGAAATAGTAGCAAGGATACCATTTATCATTAATGATGTGTGAGACGCTGAGTTAAGGGCCAGAAGAACAAAGAAGCTCCCCAATTTATGTCTCAGTTGCCAAAAGGCTCACTGCTCCTCATGGGCAGAGNGATGCTCCCCAATTTATGTCCCAGTTGCCAAAAGGCTCACTGTTCCTCATGGGCAGACAGGACATGGGACACCCACCCAGTCCTTCTGGGAGTGCACGCGACAGGGGGTTATCAGGAAGTTCCTGGGACTTAAGCAAGGAAGTGGAGGCTCTTCCAGGCCAAAGGCATGACGTGGGCAGAAGCTGGGAAATTCACTCTCTCAAAATAATTCAATACAATACAAAAACAACCAGTGGTCCACTGCTGGCCAAATGTTGTTACCAGGCACAAGATGAGTGTCGCTTGTCATCTAGAGATATAAGTACTGATTTCAGTAGGCAGATAAAATAAAACACTGAGTCTTTCAAAGAGTTCAAAGATAAAACGGATCTCCCCCCTTGCTCTGGCTCCTCCAGCCAAAACTTTGCTCTGCGCTTGGGGGATGGGCACACCTTCTTCAGCAGGTTGCCTTTCTAAGAGTTAACCAGTTTTGCTCAAGTTTGAGAAACAAGTATATTCATGATCGGGCTCTTGAAAGTTTGAAAGCAGGGGGCCTTTTTGTGGTGGAGTAGAAAGTGGATCGTACAATTAACCTGGATTTTCTTAACCCCTTCAAACACAGGACCATTGTGTCACTATCCATTGTCTACACAATCGGGCAGGCGGTCACCGCAATAAGCTCCATTAATGACCTCTCAGACTTCGACCACGATGGAAAACCTAACAACCTTCCTTTACATGTGTGAGTTGATTTACCTGCTGCCCTACCCCATCCTCCCCCCGATTGCCGATTTGGTACTCTAATTTTTTTCATCTTTTTGTTTGAACTTCACTGTAAGTGTAAGGAGGCCTTTACTCCCTCCTCAGCAGTATAGAGAGAGCCATTTAATTGACTAAGAGTTGGGTCTTCATTATATCACCATCCTAACAATTGTCTGGAGTCATTGCTCACTTGAAGGCTTGCTGTCTGGGCTACATCTCGCATGCTGAATGTCAGTACACGGAATACTTCTGTTAATCTTGATCTTCCCTGGAAGGACGGACAGACTTCCACGGACCTTGATCCTTCATTGCGCCAAGTTTCCTCAAGACTCTATACCTTTGGTTTTCTGTCTTGTACTATGCTTTTGCTGAGTTATCAGTAACTCAGTTTCATAAATATTTGTTTGAGTCCTATGTTCTGAGTCTTTGATGAAAACTGTCATTGACAAATGTTCGTCTGTGAGATTAGTTTCCCTTCACTGCAATCTGGTCCAGTAGACAAGTTACAAAGATTTATTTAGTTTCCTGTTTGTGTGCTTCAATTCCTTGATCTCTGAGTAAACCATCTTACTGATGGAAAAAATATAATTGAAATTCAAATCTGCATTTCTGGTTTGTTTGTCAATCAGATTGCTGCCCAGACTAGGTCCCTTGATATAACACTCTTCGTGCCCACAGAGAATTGTGCAGGTCGAGGGGAGTGGCTGTTAGCTCAGCCTGGCGGCTCAGACTTCCAGTATCTGATCCCCAGCCCTTCCACAGAGCAGCTGTAAAACCTGGGGCAGCTTATCTTCTCCATGCCTGAATTTTCTGATCTACAATATCGATTAAAAACATGGACTTTGGAGCCTGGCTCTGTGGGTTCAGATTCTGGCTGTGCCCCTTACTAGTTGTGTGATCTTAAGCAAGTTTCTTAACCTCTGCACCTAAGTTTCCTCATTTGTAATAGCACCTACCTCGTTGTGTGTTAATAGTACAACCGTTGTGTGTTAATCCAGATAGAGCACCTGGAACATTGCCTGGCAAGTCATAAGTACTCAAGAAAGCTTAGCTACTGGGGTTTTTTTCATGGAATTAATATTAGAGCATACCTACAATTCTCACAAGAGTTCTTGGTATATTATATTCAACTAGTCATGTTTTTGTTGTCTTTTAAAATGCTTAGAGTGATAGCACTTAAGTTGTATTAAGAAGCAAACGATGAAAGAGGTGCTTTGACCAGCTAATTCACAAAGATGATTGTGATTTGTTAAAGAATTCTTTCTATGTGCAGTATCTTTCTTGACATTATCTGCTTCATAAAATATTTTTTTAGCATTTTAAAACAATATAGCAACCAAGAAGATATGGAAAAAACACTCATAAAACCTAAAATTTGTAGTACCTACTATCATTCAACAAAACTACAAAATGAGGGTTGGTAAATTCTATGAGTAATTTTTTTTCAATTCAGATAACTTGGAAAATGCAAAAGTAAATAAAAATAAATAACCCTAATCCCTTCTCATTATTATAAGTGACCTTTTTTAATATTGTAAAAGATTATAATATAAACATTTTGCTCTACTTCTTTCCAGTCTTCTGAAAACAAGTTAAGATCATACTAAATAACTTGATATTCTGGTTTGGAATTAAATCATGTTTTCTAATGTCCTTTAATGACTATTATAAGTTTATTAAGATTATACCAGAGACAATGCTTAACCATTTCTCTTACCTATTTTTTTTTTAATCTTTATTGATTTCAGAGAGAGGAAGGGAGAGGGAGAGAGAGATAGAAACATCAATGATGAGAGAGAATCGGCTGCCTCCTGCACACCCCCCACTGGGGATGGAGCCCACAACCCGGGCATGTGCCCTGACCAGGAATCTGACTGGGAATCAAACCGCGATCTTCTGGATCATAGGTCGATGCTCAATGGCTGGGCCAAGCCATCCGGGCTCACTTACCTATTCTTTTACTGAAAATGATAAGGCTGCGAAAGAACTCCTACAAAAATCCTTGCTCAGGGTTCAAGCTATTGCTTTAAATTTTCCAGCTAGTAAATTATTAGATAACGGTATACACTTGAAGGCCCATGAGATCAACTTCCCTTCACCTGAGAGACTGCATTCCTGTGCACTCTTCTCGCAGAGGTCACGTCTCTCCTCCGTGTTTTCCGCCGCACCGGGCCCACCGAGGGGAGTTAGGAAGCAGGAGGCTCTTGCTTCTAAGGCTCTCGCGCTCCGGCAGTGACCGCACCCCGTCTTTCCCTAGGTCGCTGTCCATGATCGGCCTGGCCCTGATAGCGCTCGGGACCGGAGGAATCAAGCCCTGTGTGTCTGCCTTTGGTGGAGATCAGTTTGAAGAGGGCCAGGTAAGAGCAGGAGCCTTCGCAGCAACCAGATAAATGCACTATAAGCCTCCAGGAGTCAGGTTCCCCTGACGCAAAGTCTGTTCGCCGCTGGATTCCTCTCAAGGAGACTGGACAGTGAGATAGTGACCAAAACAAAACAAAGTCTGATAGTGACCAAACAAAGCAAAGAAGGTCAGAGTATCAGCTGTACACAGGCCGGTGGTGGATCGCCCAGGTCACCATACTCTAACTTCCTCCTTTTCATTGTAGGAAAAACAGAGAAACCGATTTTTTTCCATCTTTTATTTGGCCATCAATGCTGGAAGTCTGCTTTCTACTATCATCACTCCCATTCTCAGAGGTAAAAAATACAGGGAGGGGATCCTGTTTCTCTTTGAACTGCGGGAGAGGGGCAGGCGGAGAGGAGGGTTTGCCGGCTGGTGTGTCGTGGCCTCTAGTCCCTGTGGTGCTGCAGAGGCCACACGCTTGCCGAGCGCACGATGAAATCCAGAGGCTGAGCTGCTTGCTTCCGAGTCTTATCTCCTTTTCAGCCGTATTTGAACCCCTCACCTGCTGCCCGCTGAAGAATCCGTAGCATCCGTAGCACAGCAGTCAGTTTCTCTAAATTCTTACTGATGCGAACAGCAGAGGCTTGAAAACCACGCGTTTCTGCCTCCAGGCTTTGCTCCCTGGTGATGTTCAGGGAGTCGGGGGGAATTTCGTGGGCAAGGTTCTGTTCTTTGCAGATATTTCAAAAAGAACTGTCCAAGGAAGAAAATGAGACAGCAACCGGCACTCAGATTCTTGTGCTGGCCAAGGACCCACTGAGGGCCGGTGCATTTCCCGCGCGGAAGAGAGGACTTGGGGACGAGTCAGACCAAACGAAGATCATGATGTGTGCCCAGGATCAGATTAAATTATGAAATAAAATATTGTGTGGGGATTTCTGTGTTCCTGCATAGGCTAGCAGCTTGAAGATGATACTTAAACCACATCCCAACTTGTTTTGTATAAAAGTTTGATAGTTTTTATTCTTATGTTCCCTCACCTCCCCCACCTTCCCACCTACTAGAATATCTACTGTGAATGTTTGAATTAGAGAATGTGTTAAAGGATAACTTTTTTAAAGGTAAAATCATGACTCTCAAGCAAATATGAAATGAGCATGTGACAGAGATTTTATATAACTTATTAATGAGGAAACTGGAAAGCTACTAGTCAGTTCAAAGAGGGATTTGACTAACAGGGATTATTTATATTCCTTGCAGTGAGGGAATTTATTTTGCTTTGCCATGAACAAGAAACATTGCACGACTCAGTTTTCTTCTAGTTAACTTCTTTCTCTATAGCATTGTGAAATAGCTAGTTAAAGACAAAGTTAAAACCCCCTTAGGATCAGATTCCTGGAGGCTCCAGCACTCCATTAAAAGGATTTCCAGAATTCTCTGTTGCCCCATACAATGTCTTAATTTTTTTCATACCAATCCTAGAATTTCAGAGTTAAAATAGATCCTCAGTCAAGGGTTAGCAAACTATGGTCCATGGGCCCAATCCAAAAATGTAGAAGAGACCATCCATTTGTGTGCTGTCTGTGGCTGTTTTCACCCAGAAGCAGAGTAGAGTACTTGGGACAAAGACTGAATGGTCCACAAAGCCTAAAATAATTACTCTGTCTGGTTCTTCACAGTAAAGTTTGTTGGGTCATCAAAGTGTTTTCAAATTGGCATGAATTCAGGAACATATTATCTTGATTTTCCAAGCCACTTTTGATTTTATTTATTGAGTATTCAGGCCATTTTTATCTCCCCCACTAAGAAAATCCACTGAACATAAGAATTTATTTTGGCTTGGCCAGTATCTGACATCTTAGGGGCTGAGATTAGACCTGTCTCCATCTCCTGCTCTTTTTACTACAAAGCTGCTTTGCTCCACTGGCAGTGACATCAGTAAGGCAAATAGATACATCTAAAACATTAAGTGAAAACCATACATGATAACCAGTTAGGGATTTTTTTAAAAGTGGAAACTATATGAGCATTGCCAATGCCATAATGAACTTTAATCTGGTGATTTCTCCCCAGTTCAAGAATGTGGAATTCACCATGTGCAAGCTTGTTACCCACTGGCGTTTGGGGTTCCTGCTGCTCTCATGGCCGTTGCTCTGAGTAAGTAGGATCAATTGAATTAATACAATCCTATGATCAGATCAGGCCTTCACATTAATCATTGTGACCAATTTTTAAAAGTTTATGTAGGAAATGTAATGATAAGTAGTATGAACAATTGCCATCCAGTGTTAAACATGCTCTGAGAATTCAAAGAAAGTAAAATTGGCATTTTTCAGAGGGAATTAGATCAAAAAAGTGTTTACAGGGACAGGGATCAGCTGAGTTGGAATCTAAAGGTCTGACACTGTTTAGGCAGATGAAGATGAAGATGATAGATTCTGCTGGACTAGCTGAACCCACGGCTGAAAGCTTTTCTTCTTATCAGCATGGGCTCATCTACAACTTGAAGACAAGGCAACCTGGCCCAGTTGTCGTTTAAATATTTCCAACACCATCTAGATTTCCATAGTGTATCATCTCAAAATGTTTCTACTAGAATATCTTCCCTCTAGGATGAATATATGTGTATGTTAGGTGCATTCATTCGCACATGAGTTCTTGGCACTGGCTTTTTAGGAAGTGTGAAGAGATTTCTACATGGGATAGTCTGGCTTGAGAGATAGCAGGGGTTTTTGTTTCCTAGGACTGCCATAACAAAACACCACAGACTGAGTGCCTTTACCAACAGAAATTTATTTCTTGTCTTACATTTCTGGAGGCTGGGAGTTCAAGATCAATGTGTCAGAAGGACATAGTGCCACTTAAGGTCCTGGGAAGAATCTCTTCCAGGCCTCTCTCCTCTCTCCCTGGCTTGTGGCGGCACAATGTCAGTGTGTCTGTGGCCTTCCCTCTGTGGGCATATCTGTATCCAAACACCCCCTTTTTATAGAGATACTAGTCGTATTGGAGTAGGGCCACCATAATGACCTGATCTTGCCCTGATTGTCTGCAAAGATTGTATTTCCAGCCCAGTCAGTGTGGCTCAGGGGTTGAGTGTTGACCCATGAACCAGGAGGTCATGGTTCAATTCCTGGTCGGGGCACATGCCCAAGTTATGGGCTCGATCCCCAGCAGGGAGCATGCAGGAGGCAGCGGATCCGTGACTCTCTCATCATTGATGTTTGTCCGTCCCTCTCCCTTTCTTTCTCTGAAATCAATAAAAACATTTTTTAAAAAGATTGTATTTCCAAATAAGTCACATTCTGAGGTCCTGGGGATAAGGGCTTCCACATCTTCAGGGCGGGGCATGGGGCATACTTCGATCTATAACAGTATAAGAAGGAAACAGAGCCCAATTGCCATCTGAAGCCTTCACAGCCATTTCTCCCACTCAGAGAGGGAGCAGTCAGCTCTGTCACTTTCTCTGATTTTTTTTTCAATTCTTAATAGTATCAAGTATGCACCTTTTTAACCTCTTTTGTTTGTGTAGCAATTTAGCTTTTTCCATACACTTATGCAAGAGCTCAGCATTCTCCCCTTTGTATATGTCCATTTTCTTCCATAATTGCTTAACTACTGCCACACTCCCCTAAAAAGCTCAGCTATGCCTTCTCCTCTAATTCTGGGTAAGGAAGTGGAGATAGAGAGGACTTCAGAAGCTGCTGTTTTAGTCTGGAGACTGTATTAAGTTGGCATTAGGTAAGTTGGCATTTAGTCTGTATGAGTCATTCTTGCATCAAAGATTATGCTTTTTCTTTTTTTTAAATATGTTTTTTATTGATTTCAGAGAGAGGAAGGGAAAGGGAGATAGAAACAGCAGTGATGAGAGAGTCATCGATTGGCTGCCTCCTGCTTGCCCCCTACTGGGGATTCAGCCCGAAACCTTGGGCATGTGCCCAGACCAGGAATCAAACAGTGTCCTCCAGGTTCATGGGCTAACACTGAGCCACAAGGCCGGGCAATTTTGCTTTTTCTTACAGAGGAATTGAGACAGGCTAAATCCTATGTATTAACACTATCTCTAGAAGTTTCTATCTGCAACAATCTTATGCTTGAATTAGGCTTCAGTTAATCAGAAACTTAAAGATTAAAATATTAGTTAGCAAAAAAAAAAAAAAGTAGACTCAATCTTTTGGGCACCTCTACCATCCATGTCTGGATTGAGGAGAGCTGGTATTGGGTGAGAATACAAGTAAATTCTCCTTTCTTCAGCTATAAAGAACATCTATAAAGAACATCTATACAGGCATAGGCTTGGAGAAAATGCTTGAGAGTTGGAACCTATCAAAATTTCAGGCCCTCTTTTAATTGAGGGAGAAAAGTCTAATATAGAAAATCCATTGGTGTTTTAATTTTTTTGAATTCTGGTATTGGATAATCAGAAATCCTAGTATAGGGATTGTGTTTTCAGTTTCTTCCAGAAATGCTGTTTTTCCCTAAGGTTTTTTCAGAGTATGTCTTTTTCTAAGAGAATTCATGGAAGAATTGCCTCATTGTAAAAGTGCTTTTTCATGTGTAAAACTGTAGCTGCAGATGCAAATAATTGCAACTGTGATTCTGTACCATGACCACAGAATAAATTCTGTCCCATGTGAGTAAGTAAACGTTTCAACAGATAGTTCCTATTTTTTTTCTGACGATTAAAGAAAGAACTTTCTCTTGTCATTGCAACTGAAAAATTGAAGCTGGTTTTTGTCTTTATAGAGGAATAGATTAACCTGTTATGTGAAAGCACGTATTCCTTTAGTCTCCCTTTACATAGTGATGGAACTTGTGCCTGAATCGCTGTACTGTCTTTGAGCTGCCCTAAGTTCTGGGAAGTAGATAGTGGTAGACTTTATTGTTTGTATCTGAGGACACAAACATAACAGTACTCAGAAGCTCCTGTGATTATTAGAATCTAAACCGGGAGGGAGCTGGGGAGGTACACCCATTCTGTAAGTAATCCTAGTATATCCAAAGCAAGGTTATAACTCAAATAAAAGCACATAGTCTAGATCACAGGTAGTTCTGACAGCACCCTGTTAACACGTCTTTTCTTGCTCTCCAGTTGTATTTGTCATTGGCAGTAGCATGTACAAGAAGTTCCAGCCCCAGGGGAACATCATGGCTGAAGTCGCCAAGTGCATTGGGGTAAGTGGCTCAGTAGCTCTCTCTCAGTGGCACGTAATCACCCCAGAACCTTCCACTTCCTTCAATTTAAAATTCAATGAAGGGCCAGCTTTCCTTTAAGCATTTTATTTGTGTTCTTTACTATAGGGGTGGGCAAAAGTAGGTTAAATTACCAGCCATCATTACCTAAAAAGTAAATCACAAGTAAGCATACAAAATAAAAAAATGATAATAAGAAGAACACAAATAACGCAATAATGAATAAATAATGATACAAGAATAAACTGTGTTTTGCATACTCACAACTGTGAACCTACTTTTGCCCATCCCTATATTTTGATAAATTGATGTTTTTTATCAAATTTGCCACGTGGAAAAGGTCACAAAACAGTACTCAAAGGGGGAGAGATGGAAATGACTCTTGAAATTATAAGATCAGTGGTCAAAGAAAATCAAATCAAGGTGACTCTTCACCTTTCAAAATGGTAAACAGCCACAGCTTTGAGTTACTGCCCTTCAGGCACATGCCCGTCCCCAGCCAGCACCACCATCGCTGCCACATAGCTACAGATGCACTTGGCTTTACCTGAAGGCCTCTTACTAGCAAGGAATCTTAGAAGCCCCTCATTTTATGATGGTGGGTCATTATACTTTTCTAATCAGTGTTACCATATTTTAAAATATGTTTAACTATAACCGTTATTTTTTTATAAATCCATCTCTGTGTAGTGGGTTCTCACTGTCCTTTGTGTGGCTATAATTCACTTATTATAGTCCTTCACTATAATATGGTAGCCACTAGCCGCACGTGGCTACAGAACATTTGAAATGTGGCAAGTTCAACTGGGGAACAGAAATTTAAATTGGATTTCACTGGAAGTAATTTAAATTTCTTATATATGTATTTCTATGGAGTGAGTTCTTTTAAATCTAAAAACCAATATTTAATTCAGTTATTGGAAAAACTTCAAAGTACGTTTGGAAAACCTAAGTATGGAACTCTCGTTTTTTAAACATAAGTTTTATGAAATGTAAATACAGATCAAATATTTCTGGTAAAAATTTATCATTCAAATTAAAATGTGCTATAAGGGTAAAGTATACCCTGGATTTCAAAGATGTGGTATAAAAAAGAATGTAAACCTTTTTATGAATTTTTAAAATATTGATTACACATTAAAATCATGTTTTAGGTTTGTTGGGTTTAAGAAAATATATTTAAAATTAATTTTACCTGTTTCCCTTTTGCTTTTTAACATGGCTACCAGAAAATGTAAATGTTACAAGTTATGTTCCTATCGAAAGCTACTCTCTGGAGAGCAGTGTAGTAAGTGTGACTTTGTTTCCCAGATCACACACTCACAGTTAGTAAGAGATTAGAAATAGATGCATGCCATGCCTTTTAGCATTGTCCTTATACTAGTGTGTATGATTTTATATTTTGCTTCTCTCACAAGTTTTCCATTAAAACTAGTTTAATTGAAATGTGTTTCCCTGTTTATAAAGTAATCAGCTCTGTTTTGAAATTTGCTTTTCCTTTCTTCCTTCAGTTTGCCATCAAAAATAGGTTTAGGCACCGGAGTAAGGAATTTCCGAAAAGGGAGCACTGGCTGGACTGGGCGCAGGAGAAGTACGATGTAAGTGGTGGTAATTGCTGCAGGGGCCCCGGCGCCCCGCCTCCAGAAAGTGAACAGCCACGGTTGCGATGCCTGTTGTTCAGGCTGCATGGACGGGATTAGCAGCTGTGTCTTCAGAACCCTTACCAGCATGTCAAATAAGACTCTGCGAGTGTGATTTTTTAAGACTCAGAAGAATTTTATAATCAGTAGATATAATTTATCTGGGAACCATACTACCTTATAGATTTTCATTTCATACAGTCTGCCAATTATTATATGTAATTGTGATCACATAACTTTAGTGTGAATATAGAAGAGTTAAATGGTGGAAGTGGTGGTGGAGTTTCCATTAAGTAGAATTTAAATATAAATTCGAGTAATTTACCTCCTAAACAGACATTTTCACTCATATTTTAAATAACTTAGGAAGCTTTGGTTTTCTTAAGGAATGTGGGGTAGGGTTCTTTAGAACTGTTAATCACCACCCAGCTTGTCTCCAGGTGCAAATAAGTCTACACTGAGATTGACATTGCTGATGACTCTGACACAGTCATGTCTCACTTGTCCCTCCCCCACTTCAACCACAGGAGCGGCTAATCTCTCAGATTAAGATGGTTACCAAGGTGATGTTCCTGTATATTCCACTCCCCATGTTCTGGGCCTTGTTCGATCAGCAGGTAATGGGAAACTATGTTTATGTATATCTTCATGTAGCAATGTACGAAGCCCTAGTTAGTGTCTAGCTCTTAAAAATGTTCTCTTCCAGTTTCTCTTTTACTCATTTATTTGATCACTTAATCACATTGAGTGTCATTTTTAAAATACCAGCTATACATGGTTCTATCCACATCTCTGTTGCAAAACATCAAAGAAATTAGGTGTGGTCAAGTAAAAGAGCCTTAGGAAAGATTTGATCTAAGTGTCCAAGACTCCTTTGAATCAAAACTTGAGAATAAAAAATAAAAACTAATTGAAAAAAGAAAAAAGAAAAAAAGAAAACTAAACAAAAAACTGAGAATAAAGAGTTTTTGTATTGATGCATCATGGTAAACGGATGTATTACATTTTATGGGATCCACAGAATATTTAAACTGACAGGGCCAAGCCAGCGTGGCTCAGTGGGTGAGTGTCAGCCCAGGAACCAAGAGATCACAGCTCTGTTCCCAGTCAGGGCACATGCCGAGTTGCAGGCTCGATCCCCAGTCGGGGGCGTGCAGGAGGCAGCCGATCAGTGATGTTTCTCATCATTGATGTTTCTATCTCTCTATTCCTCTCCCTTCCCCTCTCTCTAAAAATCAATTTAAAAAATATATTAAACTGACAGGAACTTAATATCTTTCAATCTAAAATGGAATGCTTGGCTTAGAAGTACCATCCAGGGATGCAAAATGACTCCCCCAAAGTCACTTTTATCAGAGCAGGGAACTAGATCCCAGGTCATTGCCTGTCGCCCTGATCTTTCCCCCACAGCTATAAGATGAGTGCCTATGAATTTTTCAACCAAGGGTTAGATAATTCAATGTATGATGCCTACCAGTCAAATTAATAAGATATTATTCCTTTTAGAAACTGGAGTGTTTTTTTTAAATTGCAAATGTGTAATTTTATTGTGCAGGAAGGATTATTATAAGGGTTAACCATCTCTTGCAAAAATTTGAGTATGCACGTTAATCTTATTTATAAGCATGGAACTTAGAACAGCATTTTAAAGACCAGGGAGGCAGTTTTGCACATTTGGGTACAAACCTGTTATTGGACTTGGACTTGCACTAGAAATACACTCATCACCTTTTAGCTGTGTGACTTGGGGTAATCCCATAACCCTCCTGAAAGGGTAATAATTCATGGCAAGGCTGTGAGGATCAAAATAGAGAACATATGTAAAGTAACCAGGAACTGGCATGTATTAAGAATTGGAACAGTAGCATATTTCCTGACTTTCTGTGATGTCCTCCTAGTGGAGTTGATAGATTATGTTGAAACGTTTATATCTTTAATCCTTTGTGGAAATAATCGTACATACTTGCACGGACCTAAGTCGTCTTTTCCTAGAAAATAGGTTGAATGTAATGAGGCTGCTCAGGCTTAAATTTGTCACTCTCTTCACGGAATCATATTTTAGGACAACCTAGGCTGTCAAAATGGCTCTTAGCAATAATTACGTTCTCGAAACTATGATGCCAGTAAATATAGAATATCCTCAGTCTATAAAGCTGCTTTCACCTGGCAGGTAATGTCTTGCTTCCCACAACCTCAGAAATACACTTTGGCTTTCCTAAGGAAAGCTTTATCTCAGAGTAGTACTTTGTAGATTTTTCACCAGGGGCCAGGGTACTTCTATGTTATGGTAACTTGTAGTGCAGAAATGCAAGTTGTTCCTTCTTACCTAGTGTTACAATGGAGCTGAGAGACGAACTTGATGGTGGAAAAAATGTAAAAAAATTTACATTGACTTGTAAAATGTTTTAAACCCACGTGCCCAAATGATGCAGTAAACTTATTTGTTTTTAAGGGCTCAAGGTGGACACTACAAGCAACAACCATGAATGGGAAAATTGTAAGTTTGCAACATCAGTATATTTTACCTTCCCTGGTCACTCACTATTCCTTTGTTTTAGTCCCTTTGCCCCCTTTCCTGGCATTCCCAATCCCGTAGTTGATAATCTGTGGGAAGTTATCAGTGAGACTTTTCCCTCTTGTTTTTTAGGGAGTTATTGAAATTCAACCAGATCAGATGCAGGTAAGAAAAAATATTTAAGTTGCTTTCAGAGATCAAAGTCACCTTTGAGACAATGGTAACAGTCCATCTCCACTTCATCTGCAGACTGTGAATGCCATCTTGATTGTTGTCATGGTCCCCATCGTAGATGCTGTGGTGTATCCTCTGATTGCACGATGTGGTTTCAATTTCACGTAGGTGACCGGAGGGTTGCGGTTGGGGGAGGGCGTTGCAACTAGATTCCGTGGAAAAAATATCTGTCTCCTCTCCCACAACACCACCTATATGATGGGGCTTTTAAAGAAATACATCTGAGCCCTGGCCGGGTGGCTCAGTTGGTTGGAGCACCATCCCGTGCACCAAAAGGTTGCAGGATCAATCCCTGGTCAGGAGGCAACCGGCAATGTTCTCTCTCATATCCCCCTACCTCTCTCTCTCTTCCTTCCTCTCTAAAATCAGTAAAAACATGTCCTCAGGTGAGGATTGAAAAAAAAGTAAAAAAAAAGAAACACATTTGAATTGGATGTCTGTGTGCTGATGTTTCTGAAAACTTGCCCTTAAAATAAAAGTGCTATTACTAGCAGCCTGCAAAAGCCTCTAACTAGAGCTTTCATATACGTTGAAGGTTATTCAGAACAGGCTTCCCCAGGATGTGCCACTTTGGCCCGTTGAGTACTTTGAACTGAATGCAACCTAGACCCTGAGCAGACTCACAGAAAACGTTTGCTTCTCCTATAAAGAACTTAAATTTGGGGCCTTGCCTATAATGAGTCATTACCAGAAGTAATTTTTTATGACTTATTTAAATGGCAAGGAAAACATGTAAATTACTGAACATCTGCTTTTCTTGATGTCTTTCGAACTGCCCTCCTCTCTTCTGAAGCCCCAAGGCATCTTACCTCATTTCTTGACTCAGGATGCTATATATATACATATATATATATGTATATATATATGTATATATATATGTGTGTGTGTGTGTATATATATATGTTTGTGTGTGTGTGTATATATATATATATATATATATATATATATATATATCCCATTTTCCCTTCCTGTTGCTGAACCTCTCATATATGTGGGGTTCCCATACATATGTATATAATTAAATTTGGTTACTTTCTCTTGCTAATCTATCTCATGTCAATTTAATTATTAGACCAGGAGAAAGAACCTAGAAGGGTAGAGGAAAATTTTTCTCCCCCATAATCTAGAAGATAGAAATGTTAACTATAATCCAAAGTATCACCCTGGCTGGTATGGCTCAGTGGTTGGGGTGTCAGCTCAAGCACCAAAGTGTCATGGGTCCAATCCCCAAAGTATCCCCCAAATTATAATTTCTACAAAGTAAATATACAATGCGAATGAGAAGCTGTATTACATTTAGCATCCCTAGTCTTGGTCATCAATAACAGACGAAGAGATGCTTCAGACCTCATGTGTTTTGGGGGGGAAGTGAGTTTTGTTTGGGGGCGTGGTGGGAAAGGAGTCTTTCTTTTGGGGGCGTATCATTAGCTTGTTTGTATGAGGCTAGTTGGGAGTCACTTTCTTGTTTGTCCCATCAGCGCCTTGAAGAAGATGACAGTCGGAATGTTCCTGGCTTCCATGGCGTTTGTGGTGGCTGCAATTGTGCAGGTGGAAATTGATGTGAGTTGTCCTCTGAGTCTCCTGTGGCCTTTCTTGGTGCAGGTGGGGTGCTCAGAAGTCTTCTTTCTCCAGGACTGAAAGGATTAAGGGAGGCCAGGATCTTTGCTGATAAAGGATGATGTACCCCAGGGGCAAAAAAGTCCCTGTCTAACAGCTGTGGACTGCAGGGTCTTATCTCTGCGAAGGAAGCAGCCAGGGATAGGGTCAACGGGTGCCCTTAATTAGGAGGAATACTAGAGGGGAGTCGCATAAGGAGCTTCCACTGCAGTTTTTATACGGGGGAGAGGTTTATGGGACTTGTTCTTTTATGAACTCCTAAAAGATCTAGTTAAAAGAAGTTCATCACTCAAAACTACTTCAAAACTGTGTAAACTGTCCTTTTGCTGGGCTTCTTCCCTTTTGTATTCTAACTTTCTAATAATGGTAGTTCCCAAGCTAATTCACATGTCTAGTGAACCCACAATGGGGCTAAACTAGACTCCTAATGCCCTTAGACTAAGATCAGGTCCTAGACACCAGGTGTTATGTAGCATGTAAGACTCCCCCCCTCCCCGCATTCCTCATTCTCTCCTCTCTTTTTTAATTCATATTTTTAATTGTGATAAAATATACATAGCGAAACTCACCATCTTAATCATTTCTAAGTGTGCGGCTCAGCAGTGGTTAAGTATGGTCACATTGTCACGCACACAGTCTTCAGAATGCTTTTCAACTTCCCAAACTGAAATCTCTTATCCATTCAACAACGCCCCATTCCTCCTCCCACCCCAGGCCTGGTAACCACCATTCTACTTCTTGTCTCTATGAATTTGAATATTCTAGATACCTTATTAAGTGGAATCACACAGTATTTGTCCTTTTATGATGGGTTTATTTCATTTAGCATAATGTCCTCAAGGTTCATCTATGTGGAGCATGTGTCAGAAGTCCCTTCCTTTTTAAGGCTGAATAATATTCTGTGGTATGAATATAGCACATTTTGTTTATCCATCTGTTGATGGACACTTAGGTTGACCCACCTCTTGGCTATTATGAATAATGCTACTATGATCCTGGGTGTACTCAATTTCCCTTGAACATAGTTAGCTTTGTGGAAAATGAATTGTGGGGTTAAAATAGAAATAGATTGCTTTAGTGACACTGGGATTTGAGAGAGGGCATGTAGGGAAAAGACAGAAACCCTGAGAAAAGATGTGGAGGCAGGAGGGCATAAAGCATTTGTGAGAGGCTGTTTAGAGCACCATGTTCAGGACTGAAGTTTGGGCTTCCAGAGTTCTAGGGGAGGTGTCCTGGGAGAGCAGATCTCAGCATTCATTTAAGGTATGGTTCCTCTGACCCCCCTCAGATATTAGGCTTCATAACCTGGCATCCCTTGACCTGGAGGTAAATAAGCAGGTCCAAGGTAGGAGCAAGAACAGCCAAGATTCCACGCTCTATACAAACATCATTTTCTATGGGTGCCATGAAGTGAACAATTGCAGGCTTCTTGGGGGGTGTTTGGTATGTCTCAGCCAGCACAGCTTTCCATGCCTGGGGGAAGGTATATTCCATACAAACTGAAGACCTCACTGCCAATTATCTTTTATTTTGCTCAGAAAACTCTTCCAGTCTTCCCCAAAGGAAACCAAGTCCAAATTAAAGTATTGAATATAGGAAGTAATAACATGACAATACATTTCCCTCAAGAGACGGTGCACGTTGCTCAAGTGTCTGAAGTAAGTAGAAGGAACTACAATTTTTTTCATCGTTTGCCCTGAGTTATAATAGGATTTTCAGAATCTGATCTTCTTGACCTCTGTATAAATTCCAAAACAAGCCTAGAAGTGAAATGTCTTAGTATCTTGATCTCCTTTTGGCTTCACTCTGGACCAGTGCACATCAAATTTTCATGTGCACATGAATCACCTGGGGAGCTTGTTAAAACACAGATTCTTGAGCAGTAGGTCTGAAACCTTCCACTTTAACAAGCTTTGAGGTGACACTGCTGCTGCTGGTGCATGGACCCCCACTTGAAAGAGCAAGTTCCCAGACAAACTCTTATGCCTGTTGGACCCACCATGGGGTTAAACTAGACTCCTAATGCCCTTAATCGAAGGTCAGGTCCTAGAAATTATGTAGTTAAGGGACATTTGACAATCTCTGGAGACATTTTTCATTGTCACAACTGGGAGTGTGCTACTGGCATCTCCGTTGTAGAAGCCAGGACGCCGACACACAGCCTCCACCCCCCGTCCCCCAACAAAGAATTATCTAGCTCCATTTGTCAGTAGTGCTGAGGTTGGAAATCCCTAATATGGACAGTCATTGGTCTGGATTAAAGGCTCTCAATCTTGAGTCCTTATAGCAATCACCTGGACAGCTTTGAAAATTCTGATACCTGGGTCCCACCCCCACAGATTTTTATGAACACGTTGAGAACTACTACCTTAGATCTTGCCAAACTAATAATCTTGAAGTAAAAAGAAAGTTTAACTCCTAATACATGGGGCAGCCCAGTATTGATTATCTCCAAGGTTGATGCTATTCTTTGCCCAATGATAGCAATTATTTCCATAGCATTTATGTTCATAAAACAAAATAAAAGTAAAATGCTGATGAAAAGTGTAACTTCTGTGATAATACTAAACAACTTCATGACAGAGTCCATAAGGGTTGGGGGGGGG